ACTTTATGAAATATTGGGGGGGGGGGGGGGCTCGTGCCGCATTCTGATTGCAGCATTCTGAGACACGCATAATCAGAAAACGCAGAATTCCGGGCGCCAGAGTATGCCTGTTCGCAGAAAGTGCTGTGAATAATATAGTTAACAACACAAATCATGACCAAAGACACCAAAAACGGATCAAAATTGTATTTTAAAATACTTAAAACGTAGAAAAATTGGGAATTGACTTGCATTACCTCCCATCCCAATCCCATTTTTGAGGACTTCATTTCCCATTCCCAGTGGCCAAATCCCATTCCCAGCAACCCAAATCCCATTTTCCCAGTCTAAAAATAGATCAATCCCAGTTCCCATTTTACCCCTTCAGGGCCCTCTTGAAAGGGCAATTGCTAGATAGTATGCGTCAAAATAAGATTTCCGTTTTTATTCTATTTTTAAAATAAGATAGGGTTAGGTTAGGGTTTAGGTTAGGGTTAGGTTGGGGTTAGGGTTAGGTTTAGTATTAGGGTTAGGGTTTAGTTTTGCGTTAGGGACCGTTCATTATTTATACCTGGGGTTGGTACCGAAGAGAAGCGAAAAACACTGTAATTTTTTTATTTACCCAACCTCAACATTGGTCAAAATAATGTTTACCCAACCCATGTGTTACTGTACTTAATAATTAAACACACAAGATTATTTGGTGACAGAAATCAAGTTGCCTAAATTTTAAAAGCTCACCCAGACTCAAACTCACTGAGTGTGCCAATGGAACCACGTTCCTGCTGATCAATAATAGAGTCCTTCCTCAATCACTGATAGTCTACTTTGGTACAGAATGTATTGTGCACATTTTTCTTCATATTTTCCAATGCATGGTAATTTCGGTTTTATTTTATAGCTGACAGACAGCCACAAATTTTTTTACCCAACCCATGAGCTAGTCAAAAACTTGATTACCCAACCCATATCTCTTCGGTACCAACCCCGGGTGTAAATAATGAACGGTCCCTTAGGATAGTTTTTTCTACGTTATAAAAACGGAAACCTTATTTTGAAGTATACTATCTAGCAATCACCCTCTTGAAAGTCCTCGAGCTTTGCCTCGAGCTCACCGATGGGAACATGATCCTCCACATCCAGCTCTACATGAAGTACCAATTAATGTAAATCCAATATGGCGGACGTCAAAGTAAAAGTCGGAAAGGTTCAGAGCTCTGGGTTCAGAGGTTCGTGGTAGAAAACTAAAAAATAGTTGGTTAAACTCAAGAATTGTGATTCATTTTGAAACCATGCCATTAATGATCATAAGAAAAGGTTTGAAAGATAGGTATGTTGTCAAAAAGAGATCATTTGCCAAAACATATCGGACAAAAATCGCTAGGAATATAGAGGGGCTAGGGCCCAGTGGTGAACTGGCCAAAGGGGGAATTTGTCAGTTTGGGAAGTTCCGAATTTGTATATTTATTTATTTAAAAACATTTTACAACGATAACGCTTCAGAATCTACACATACCTGTTTTTCAAGAGGTCGTTGACAGACGTTGAACAGTAACACATGGAGTTACAAAAATTACATCCACACACAGCTACTACTATATTATACAACTAGGCTTGGGCGGTTTACCGGTTTTTCGTTTTTTTTCGGTTTTATTTTCAAACCGGTTTTTTCGGTTTAGCTTTTACAAAAACCGGAAAACCGTCATTACGTAATTGTTTACTGTCATCGCCTGAAACTCGATCTTAATTCTCAAAACATGACACCAATTAAACTCAATTACGTGACACTAGATACAATATTCTTTTTCCATAAAGTCGGTAAAAACCGAAGTGATACAAGTTTTCAAATGCGTTCTTGACCCTTTTATTTTAAAACTGAAGTCGTTTTAGGTTACCTTTGCACAATTTTGCGTTTTGTCATGTACTGTTCGTTTGCTTATGACAGAAAAATACCACAATTCCTCCTCATACAGTTGAAATACAAATTAAAGGGAAAAAAACGGTTTTTCGGTTTTACCGGTTTAGAATCAGACGGTTTTTCGGTTTTGATTTTAAGCAAAACCGCCCAAGCCTATATACAACTACTATATTATACAACTACTATTATTATAATATTATACAATTACTATATAATGTTAAAAATATTTACAAGACTCAGCGACGGTCAAGAATAGACTTAAATTTTGCTACACCAATCCCTTTCTCTTTTGCACATTGTGGCAAATCATTCATTCCAAACTGAAGCAGCAGAATAGGTAATACTTTTCTTCATAAAATTAGTTTTTGGTTTCTTTAAAACAAAATCCGTATTGTTGTTGCGTAAATTATGATTTGAGTTATTTTTCATTTCATATTTACCAATTATTGATTGTTGTGGCAGTTTTAACGTTGTATGCAAACATTGCTTTGAAATTCATGTTCCGGAAACGATCTTTCAAGGGTAGCCAGTCCAGTTCACTTAATATGTTTTCGGAACTTATCTCGTAACTACTGCCATGCAGTGATTACTTGTGCCGCTGTGTTTTGTAAGGCCAATGAAAATTGATATCATGTTTCTCGTTCCCGCCCGCATGGGATTTATCTGCCGCACGAAAATTTTTCATTATTCATTATTTTTGAAAAATAGGCTTAACAAAACACCAAATTGATCTCCAGATCAAAGTCTTATTGCTGCATTCCGCAAGCGCAACTCAAATTGTATCTTTCTAAAGATATTACTGGCCCGAATGCCTCTATTTTTCATGTCAGCCCTGGTATGCATAGAAATATACTGTAGTGTAGGACGTATTAAATTAAAATGAATTATACACCGATTTACTTCAGATTTTTATGGGGGTTTTTACTGGGTCAAGGAAATTATTGACAAGCAATTCAAATAAAAAAAAATGAAAAAATCCCGCTCCAAATTTTTGAAAATTGTGGACGAGAAACATGATATCAATTTTCATTGGCCTAATTTTTGCAGTTTTTTTAATAAATAATCCGTGCATTCATTCCAAACAAGGCTGCAATAATCAAAATGGGACAAAATTATTGCATTATAGACTTTAATTAATGTAGAAGTAGATACATATTCTTTAATTCGACGTAGCATACCTATGCCCTTAGAAACTTTTTTTGTGATATTATCGATCTGTGTGTTCCATGTTAAATGATCGTCAATTACGACACCTAATGTTTTGGATTTATTTAAAGGGACCGGTCATTTTTTATGGAAGGGGGGAGGGGAATTTTTTCTTTTCTAAATTTTTAAAATTGAAAGCCCCCCCCTTAAAAGAGCAGAAATTTAATGATGACCCCCCTTGCATATTAGAATATTTTTCTTTGACCCCCCCCCCATTTTCATTTTTACTCGTCAAATGGGGATACCCAGGTGTTATAGTGTTAATTATTAAATAAGAATATGGAACTGATAAGATATTAACGTCGACCAAAAAATTTTATTAGCAGAAAATTATAATTAAAAGAGGAGTATTTTCATATATAACACTAAAATCAGGTTTCCATTTGGTCTGGGCGATTGTAACCATGTTTAACGGCAGAGTATTAGTGTTTGGAGGCAGGTGCCGTTTGTGGTCCAAGGCTGCAACTATAGACTTGATGGCACGAAGTATTGTCATAGCAGCAACAATGAGAATAATAATCAGTAATATTAGCAGCAAAAGGAGATAGCCATGACAATTCTGCCAATTAGGCATACCTCCGGCACCAGTCACACTGACAAGTCAGTGGAAACGAAATACAATGTATATATAGGCTTGGGCGGTTTACCGGTTTTTCGGGGGTTTTCGGTTTTATTTTCAAACCGGTTGTTTTGGTTTAGCTTTTACAAAAACCGGGAAACCATCATTACGTAATTGTTTACTGTCATCACCTGAAACTCGATCTTAATTCTCAAAACATGACACCAATTAAACTCAATTATGTGACACTAGATACAAATTCTATTCTTATAAGTTGTCAAATGCATTCTTGACCCTTTTATTTTAAAACTGAAGTCGTTTTAGGTTACCTTTGCACAATTTTGCATTTTGTCATGTACTGTTCGTTGCTTATGACAGAAAAATACCACAATTCCTCCTCATTCAGTTGAAATACAAATTAAAGGGGAAAAAACGGTTTTTCGGTTTTACCGGTTTAGAATCAGACGGTTTTTCGGTTTTGATTTTAAGCAAAACCGCCCAAGCCTATCAGTATATATAGTGGTCTATACATCCTATTTTGTGTGAGATTAAAAATTATATAAAATAAAATGACATACTACCAGATAAAATCCTCTAGAATAAACATGGGTGGGTGGGTAGGGAAAAGGTATCTAAGCGCTATACTTGCTGCAGCTAGGCAAAGCATACAATGGCAGAATGAATACCCAGACCGAAGCACTGATCACAAGGCAAAAAACAACCCCCTTTGATCGATATGACATCACAGACTCCCCTCAGCGGATGTGGCCTGCATAATACATCCGCCGCTAACCTTGCTTAAATGTATTTAATCACATCAAGATAGCTCATGTAATAATACATAATTGTCAATTTATCTCTGCAATCAGTAAAGACTGATTTGCATACAGCACACAGAAGACAAGATAAATCCAGACTATTTCACATCAGTGACCATGATTTAGTCGCAACATTTACAACCAAATGGATACCACGCTTATTAAGCAAATTCCTTCAAATTTAATTGCAACCCCCCCCCCTCATTTTCTTGAAAAAATTTAATAGCCCCCCTTCTAGTCATTTATTTATACATATGCCCCCTTATTTTTTCCCTCCCCCCCCTTCCATAAATAATGACCAGTCCATTAACTCGTTTAATTGTTGCTTCTCCCAGTTCAATTTGTGGATCATTAATTATATTAGCTAGACGTTGTTTAGATCCTATTATCATATACTCAGTCTTTTTGCTGTTTAATGTGAGTTTATTGACAAGTAGCCATTGATGTACCTTCTCCAAGTTTTCATTCAATCTTTCATTAATTTCATGTACGTTTGCTCCACATGATGATATATTTGTATCATCTGCAAACATACTTACACTAGTACTAGAAGAAAGGCAATTAGGTAGATCATTAATATATATCAAAAAGAGTAGTGGGCCTAGGTTTGAACCCTGAGGAACACCACACTTTATGATTCTTTTACTAGATGTACTTGTTTGTTTTATTTTGCACATTTGTGTCCTGTCAGTTAAATATGATCTGAACCACTTAAGTGCTTGTTCTTGTATGCCGTACACATGCATTTTTTTGAGAAGAATATCATGATCTACACAATCAAAGGCCTTTTTTAAATCAAGGAATAGAACACCATTCAGACATCCTTTGTCCATGTTTATATACCACTCGTTTGTTATGTTAAGAAGGGATGTTTGGGTAGAATGTTGTTTTCTAAACCCGGCCTGATATTCTGTGATCACGCCATTCTCTTCCAGATAAGTTTCAAGTTTTTAGTATAATCAAGCTCTCCAATATTTTTGCTATTGCAGACAAAACCGAGATAGGTCTATAGTTCTTACAATGCGTTTTACACCCTGATTTATAAATTGGTGAAATAATAGCCACTTTGAAATCATTTGGGAATATGCCCGTCATAATTGATGCGTTAAATATATATGTCAATGAGGGAGCTATAATGTCAGCTGCGTCCTTCAATAATTTATTCGGTATCTGGTCGTTTCGCCCAATGTTTTCAATAAGAGGCGGTTACCGGCGGTTTACCGCCGCCTATTTCGCCTCTGACAGCCGATTATTTTTTCGTTTACTGTACGGTAATTTTCTAGCGACATTAGATTGCATTATTTTATTGAAAATAGTATAAAGCAAGTCACTATAGGAATCCAAGGATATAGTGTAAAGTTTCAAATTGAAAAAGACACGACACGGCAAGAACTGTATAACGTATCGCCGACAACCTAGAACAGTAAGGCATGGGCTAAAGCAGTCATAGGCTAGAGTAGGCACATTACTCAAAAATGTGGATTAGAACAACATTTTTAGGGGATAAACAATTCATTATCACTCCCTTCGTAACTCGCTTATTAAATGTTGAATTGCAAGAGCTCTTATTTGGGCATGACGACTTTCTGTTTTGTAAAGTTGATGGCTTACACTACGAAATAAACAGTTACCATGATCCTCTTGGAAATTAAGCATACTCATGTATGTCTTTTCAAAAATGGACTTGAAGCCGTACTATTACCTGTAGACACTAATCCTATACAGATGAGTAATATTAAAAGTTAATATTATTACTAAAAGTAAGAGCAACATATTATTACAAAAGTTTAAGGTGGGGAGAAGAAAGAAGTCCAAATCAGTCTTAATTTTATCTAAGCAGATTGCTTTTTACTGACTAAACCTAAGAAAAGATTGAAATTTGGCTTTCACTTGAAATTTTTGAACGCAGACGCCTATTTTTGAAATGCAGCCTGCTATGATGATTATTATTGAAAACACTGTTCGCCCCTAAGTCGTTTGGCCCCCAAGTCATTTCGCCCCCAGTAGTTTCGCCCCCAGTAGTTTCGCCCCCAAATCGTTTCGCACCAAGTCGTTTCGCCCCCAAGTTAGCTAGTGAATTATTTCTTACAAACTAACAAACTAGCCCATATTTGCGATATTGTGGACAAATGGATCAAACGGCAAACGTGCGAAAATCAAAAACCTATTCACTATTAAGGTGACAGAATTACTGACAAAACGTAACATTTCAAACGAAAACAAAAGCGCGAAAAGGTTTGACAAAGTCGGTGATCAACGCGGTGATTAGTTTGTACAATGGATGAACGAAATGGGGCAGCAAATCTTCGAGTTAAGCCTCTCGAGTTAAGCCCCGACCACGCCCTTTCGAGTTAAGCTCCGACCACGCCCATGTCACACCCATTTCCTTTGAGGGCTTAACTCGAAGCACATAACTGGAGTTAGGTACTTAGAGTTATTAAGCCATCTAGAAAATATTGATTGATTTCGTCGTTTTGACTTCTGAAATGAGTTTAAAAACCTCTTGTATAGTGACGTTTTGAATTTGAAAATGGGATTTCCAGCGACTCAGGTGATTCCAAACTTTGAGATAGATTGGCAGCAAGTTGAGGTCCAACTTCACTGAAGTACTCATTTAATGTATTTGCAATTGTATGGTCGTCGGTTATGCGTTTACCGCTCTGATTAATTTCAGTGATATTGGTTGTTTTAGAAATTTTGTTAGTTAACCTATTTATTGTTTTCCACATTTCTTTATATAGGATTTCTTTCACAACTGTTAACTAAAGTTTATTTGTAAAAGCCAAATCGATTATTGTTTCTGAATTGGTATAGTTATTCGCGTGGGTTGATCTATCATTTGTTCGAATTGATACGTATGAGTAATTTCGGGCAATTTATTAGTTTGCGGTTTGACTTTATCTGACTTAACGCCTGTCCAATCGCAGTTGAAGTCTCCAATCAAGATTGTTTCTTTGTTTTCGTAGTCAAGTTTCTCGATTAATTTTTCATAAGTATTTAATAATTCGACTGTTGAATCTGGAGGTCTGTTTACACAATTAATAATAAATGGTTTTGATTTTGGCTTAGAGATTTCAACCGTGATTGTTTCTAATCCTTCTGTGTCAAACTCAGCCCTTATCATGTAATTGATTGTACTTCGAACATAAATAGCTACCCCACCACCATTACGATTTCTATCTTTTCTCACAATGTCATAGCCTTCAATATTAACTTCATGATCATTAATTGTTTCGTCCAGTAATGTTTCATTAAACAAATTATGTCGAATTGTTTTTCTTTAAGAAAGTATCTGAATTGATCAATATGTTTAATTAAACTTCTAATGTTTAAATGAGCAATTTTAAAACCGCGTATGTGTTTTGTCTTTTAGGAGCATGCGGATTTGTTCGAAAAGTATCTTTGTTAGGGTCGGTATATTTGTCCTTTTTCGTCGTTTGAATTTCTGATTTGGGTTTCTTGACCATCTCTGTGTCTCAATTAGGAGTGTTGTTTAAAAAGGAAGTAATATATTATTTTTTGCAAGCACTGCAGTCCCAGACCTACTAAGATGTAATCCATAAGAGTTTAAATGTTTGAATGTGATGTTATCATGTCTAATTAAGCCCCATTTATTAAATTTACAATATAATGTGCTAGGTTTTCATTTACCTCGATTATTAATTTTCTTAGTTATTCCTGTCTTTTCTGTCGTATTAACAATCTGTGAGATAGCAATTTCAGTTTTGCTACTCACCTGTTTAATTAGTTGTCCGATTTCAGCGATTCCTTCTGCAATTTCAGTGGCTTCTTTATTGCCAATGTCGTTGGTTCCTACATGAAGGATTATTTTGTCTGGTTGCGATTCCAGGCACGGTTTTATATGGTGTTTCATCGCTGCTATGTTTGCACCGCTGTATGTTTCTGTTCTGACCTTATGTGACTTGGTAATTGATCGTTGCAACCGTCGTTTATCAAGATGCTTTATTATAAAATCATGCACCAACTATAATTACCGTTGCTGATTGTGATGTATTTCCTTTGGTTTGAGGTTCGTTCTGGTTAAGCTGCTCGTGCTTGTTGTTTGCATGTGCATGGACACGTTGCTAGATTTGCCATATCGGTGTTTGGCTGTCATTCTTCTGCTTTCATTATTTCGTTCATGATAATCCACAATCTCATTGACCTCCGAGTCCGCCGCGGTAGTATCGCTTAATATTTCATATCTATTTGTTGTCTGATATTTTCCGTCTTTAACAGTGGTTGCATGCCCAATACGGGATTTATCGGTTTGATTTTGCCGTCTCGGTTCGACAGTTTTCCATTCTTGCGTTGCATTATCAGCTTCTGTTTGTAAAATTCTGACGACAGTCAATAGACTGCTTCGCTCATTTTCAAGATCTTTAACCTTAGCAGATAGTTCAGAGATTAGATACGATTGGTTGTTAACTTTCTCTTTTAGGGCGTAATTTTCTTCCTCAAATTTCAGCTTTTCATTCAAGATGCGCGCTACCTCGTATTTCACTAGTTAATTCAGTGGTAGCTTTCAAGGTTTTCATGTCATTAAACAGTACTTAAAATTTCGTTTCCATTTTGTTCTCTAGTTGTTGTAAGTATTTCATTATCTTACCGCTTACTCCTGCTTCGCCTTGCATCAAATCATGCAGGGGTCCTCACTAGTTCTTACTCCTGCTTCGCCTTGCATCAAATCATGCAGGGGTCCTCGCTAGTTAGTAACACTGAGCTATACTATATTACTGGAGGACCTGCACGGGAAAAAAAAGTGAAGCCAAAAACATGGCGGATTTCGGACTTTGCTGACGCCATTTCCATGACAACTGGTCCGTATTTCTCATGGCAATTACCACTGACCAGGCTCGGATCTGAGCCCGCTACAATTTCCACACACCCCTGGTTTTCTTTAAAAAATTTTAGGTTTTTGCAATTTTGCTCGGGTTTTGTAGTATTTTTTCGATATTTGACTCGATTTTTAAATTGTTTTCGAGATATGTTTTCTAAATTCGGTTATTGGTTCAAAGATGTGCAAGTCGTACGTGTTATTCTTCCCGAGAAAGACAACAAAATTCAAACCTCGCTGTCCTCGCAAAGCCAAAGAGGATATTTGAATCAGCGAGCTATAAACAGGTATTTCATTCAATTTTATTTATGCTTTATCTTATCTCACATAAAATTGGTAGGCTTAACTTAAGCTTGACGATGAAATGCAATCTTTTTGTTAAGAAAACAGCCTTTTGCTGGTGTTTTTGGTGTAATTTGGCAATCTGTTATCTGTATATTTCAAAATTTGGTTGCAGAAACTAAAACTTTTTGTTATCTATACTGTACTTTAGAAAATGGTATTACAGTAACTCCAGACGTTCCTTCAGAGCAAACGGTATGTCAGGTATGTGTTTAAATATATTCAGGTTTTGTGTAATATGTGCCAACTTTGCATACAAGGCTAATCAATGTCAAGATTTTTGGAGTATACTCAAGTATTTCCCAAAATACCCCCCCCCCCCAAGAAAATGTTGCTGCTGTATGATGAAAAGGTAGTACATTGGCCATTTATAACACATTGTTGGGGGGCAGAGGGTTGTAGGGGTGATGAAAGCTCAGGTGGTACATAACGTCTATCATAACCTTTATAATTAACCAATTGAGCTGCAATGCGCCCCACTGGGGAAGCTCTGCAGCCAGGGCCATACACAGCGGGGAGGCAAGGGAGGCAACTGCCCCCCAGAGAAAACTATATTCACGATTTTTAGAATGTCATTAATTATTCTTTGGATATTTGGGACTTTTTCGGCATATAGGCCTTACTCCCCCCCCCGGTGAAAAATACTGTGTACGGCCCTGTCTGCAGCTTAATGGGTTTAACAATTTGGAACACCAACTACTGTATGTTGCTTCCTTTGCACTGGGAAGGTACCTTGTATCCTGGCCACTTTTGATTATTATACCATTAAAAGCCTGATAATTGCACCAATGGTTCTCGTGTCTCTGGTTTGGAGTTGAGTCACATTGTTTTGTTTTTCCCATCATCATTTTTGTGCTCAAAGTTACAACATATAATATATTTTTGTTTATTCCAGAATTATCTCACAATTGTCATATCATAATTTGGCATTTGTCCTGACTCACTCTGGTTTCCCAATTAACCCATAGAGTGGCTCTGACATTGACAAGTAAAAGTAGGGCAGTACCAAGCAAGATGTATGGAAATTGAAGACACAAAAGCTGGATTAATTTTGAACTATTTTATTTAAACTTCTTCAATACAGTAGAATTATTAACAGTGAATAATTTTAAATTAACACTAAAATTATTGTAATTAATTAAGTGTACATGATGTAGTGGAGCATGTGTTAACTTAATAGCCTTAATTAATTAACATTAACTTACGGTAATAAAGGTTTATACTTTTATGTTATCATCACCATAATCTATAGACATTTTCAAATTTTGCTTGGGGTGGGGGTGTGCAGAAAAATTCAGGGGTGGAAAGTGAGCACATGGTGTGCTGAGTAAGATGCAGCAGGGTCTACCGAGGTCTACCATGGGTGTGCCCCGCCCCAGTTTGTTGGGCAAACAAAGCCAGTTGGGCAGTATTGGCTTATTATTCTGTCAATTTTGTGGGAAATATGCTATCTAATAGGAATTTTTCGTAGCATCCTCCCCCCCCCTGTTGACAACAATTTCGGAAAGTTTCTCTGCAAATTTTTTTTTGACAACTCGGGCACAATCCGAAAAAGTCAGGCAAATTTCTTTCCGTCCACCTAATTTTTTCCTTCCTGTATGCCCATGCTGAGGGTACAGTCACTAGTGGGGACAGAGTTGGGGTAAGGTTGGGGGCACCGACCCCCAGGATATTTCGAGATTTTTGGCCTTGTTTTAAGTCTTATTTAGTTCTTATTTAGTTCAATTATACTGCTGTCATTTAATCAAACCAGCATTTAAATTTCTGGGGCGGGTGCAAATATCTCTAGGTGGGGTGGGAAAACTTTCTGAGGTGGTGAAAATATTTTTGGGGGTGCACACCACCTGCATCCCCCCAAAAAATCCATCTATGATTGCCATCAGATAATTAAGTTACTGTGGTATTAATTATTATGACTTCGCTTTTGGTTATATTCTGTATTTTAATGCCTTGTCCCATCAACTCTCATGTTCTGTGATGCCTGCAATATAACCGATAATTCCTGCAAGACAAAAGACAACAATCATATTACACTAATATTATTACACATTTTCCCACCTCAAAAACAGCATTTATTATCAAAATTGTGGATACTTCTTCTCATACATAAAACTGCATGTGTACTAATTAAAGTATTTTTACATAGTACTGAAATGGTGAATCATTATCCACTAGTTAATCATAGTTTCTCTGTAACTAATTCCAAGAAAGTCAAGACAATGACAGGCAAAGATAACAATTTGTTCAAGAGAGAGGAAGGATCCACAGTTAGGTTATTAATAAAAACATTCTTGCTGTAGTTCTTTGTGTATTCCACTTGGTTGTGGAAATACATGTCCAGTACATGATTTTTTTTGTAAATGATTCTTACGGATTGTTTTTAGGGACAAGTCATTATTAATGCCGGGTAGGGGGCTGGAGGAAATTTTTATGAATAGCAAAAATTTCTCATGACCCCTTATTTTTCTAACAAAATCAAAATTTATCCCCCCCCCATTGAGGCACCATATTTCATAGCCCCCCTCCCCCCAATTCTGAATTCAATGAATCTAAGTCAGTTTCGTAAGCATTTTTCCTGCCCTCATACTCATGCAGTTTACTTGCAGCTGTAAAGAATATTGTAAATATTGAAAATGATAGCCAAGGTGGACAGGAGTGACTTTAGTTTCACAATAGACACAATAGACAATTCAGACTTTATACCTGAAAAGTTGTTGGCCCTCAAACAAAAAAAACACACATCAGGCCTAGTCTTTTACTAATTGATAAAAAAACATTTGTGTCTGGTGGAAGCATTATATTGAAGAGATGGCAGAAGAGACTGTCAACAACATGCAGAAACAGAACATGCCAAAGAGGTCCGCTGTGTTAAAAAGCGTAAAACAGGACAACAACTGTCAATTGAATCTTGCATAGTTGCAAATACAGTGCATGACCCTTCAGACAAATTCTACAGTGATGATGAGAATGACAATTTCCATATACAGTAGTTAGAACACAACTTTAGGTTCAATATATTGGGCATTACTGTTCAATGTATGTAAGTATGTACAGTATACTGTATATATCCATTACTCTTTTGATATTACATGTTACAAACTATTCCATAGATTTTATTTTTTGCCCCCCCCCCTTTATGTTCAAAATATTTTCTGCCCCCCCCCACTTCAATGGTCAAAACTTTTTGTGGCCCCTCTAAATTTCCTCCGGCCCCCTACCCGGCATTAATAATGACTGGTCCCTTACTGAGCTAGTGAATTTGATTGCATTTCAGGGCTGAGAGGCCTTAGATTTAAAATCTTCTGGGTATAAGCATGCCCCCAGACCCGCTAACAGGCTCATGCCTTTGGCAGCTCCCTCACTGACCCACCCACCAATTTCTTGATGACACAATTGATTGTTTCCCCACTTCTGTTTCAGTCTGGCTATGCCACTGCTCACAACATCAAATTTAACAGTTTCAGGACTATTAAATTCAGGAGTTTTGTTTATATGACAAAATTGGACAAGTCAATTTATTGTATGCGGACCATTAACAGTTGACTTGTTAACAGTACACGACTATATGTTGATGTCATATAACAAGTGAATCCAGTGTAGTGGCCCTGGCTATTTTGCCCTCGTTGCTCCCCTCTCTGGCCTTGTGCTTAATCCTGGTCTATATTAAGTGTATTAAATTAACTAAGAAATTATTTTCACCGGAAAAATCTGTGTAAGACACATCCCCAGGGCTAAAACAAAACAGTAAGTCTTATGACCACAAATTTTACAAGGTTTTTTATGACTTTAATGTCCAATATTGAAATTAAAAAAATTTCGTACTATCCATCCCATGAATCTTACCTGTGAAACGAATTACTCGTCCTTTTATGTAAAGTAAAGTAAATTGTTGCATCAGCAAGTGGAACAAAACGGCACTTTAATTCCTTCCAAGTTGAAAAAAAACCCCAGCAAAATACGAGAAAAATATATTATGTTTTTAACTAAAAACACTGCCAAAACCAGGGGGGTGAAAACGTCGTCTGAAGCTCAGGATCGCGGTTGGTCAGTGGCAATTCTGTGAGAATTACGGACCAGTTGTCATGGAAATGGCGTCAGCAAACGTCAAAATCCGCCATTTTTTTGGCTTCACTTTGATCACTGAACGAAGTATAGGAGCAGGTCCTCCAGTTATTATACAGCTCAGTGGTTGGACCTCGTGGCGTATATGTATTTTTGCAATTGCGCCGACCAGTTGTTGGGTCATTACTGAACTCATAGTGCACTGGCTTTCGTTTTCTTTTTCTGTCACCTAAATGATCCTTTCCCTGTCGAATGAGGTCTTCAATTGGCAATTTTTTCTTTTTTGCAGAGGAATACGCATTCACACCGCTCTGTTTTTCCGCCATCTTGAAATTTAGCATGTGCTTATTACTCGTCCCAGGATACTGAGTGATCACACGGTGGGTGCCGCGAATTGATGATATTAGTAAATTCGCTGGCTTTTGACATTTTATGCATATAGTAAATCCGCCTTGGAGCTCATGTTGTCTTGACAGAATAAGGACCTGTGCTTCCACTATAAACTCAAGACAGATTTCCTTGAAGTTCTTGAACGGTCCGCAGGCAAGCCTGGGCCAAAGTGGCCAGGCCTGGGCAAGCCAATGAAATTAGCCTGAAAACAGACCTACGCGGAGTCGACCCGCGAATTTTATGGCGGGCGAAACGTAGGTCTGTTTTCAGGCTACAATGAAATGGGCGTACATTAATAATACAGCCAGAGGGAGGGGGCATAATATTGACCCCTCTTGGAAATTCTGACCACCACAAGCATGTGCATTATATTTTCATTTCTTGTAATGGGAATTTTATATTTTTCTATGTTTAAATGTTCTGGATTCGTTTGTGATTAAGAGTTGTTATGTGTTAATAAACATAGTTGGTGGGAGGAGAGTGTTTGGAAACTTGTACACTTCCGGTATTTATGTTATGACGACTACGGCGTTGTATTAAGCAAAATGGCGAATATATTAAGCGAAGCCATTGAGAGCGAAGCTTACAAACTGAGGAAGACATTTTAGAAATTGAGGAAGCGTTAGAGGCACACGAAAGCGCAGAGCTTGATGTGTTAGTGGTTCTAGTAAATGAACGAACATTTCGACTATTTTTATGAGGACAATTGGACCAAGACTTTGAAAAAGAGGTTGAAATTGTGAACAAATGGGGTCTAAAGCAAATTTTCGTACAGTTTCGATTTCGTATGCCCTGGTGTGATTGCAGTCATAGCCTGTTGTCTAGCATACACGCGTACAATTTCAAAGCTTCTCTTCAAAATGTGTTCGCACTGTATTAACTGCTTCTTCCCAGTTGTTGAAAAGTCTGAAACAAGTTGTTACCATCTTGTAACAAGCTAAGGTTAATGAGGCCAGGAGACGTGTTACGAACAACCTGTATACTTTAGTTTTGTTGGAATAACTTATAGCAACTCTGATACCTGTACCGAACACAAAATCTTGTTTCAAACTTCTCACAACAAATACTATGAACACATCCTGATATCGGCTTGACAAAAACCTTATTACAACTTGTTTCCAGACCTGTAACAACTTGTGGGATTTTACGTTTGTACAACAAAATACTAGCTGATATATCTAGATGTGTTTGCACAGCTTGTTCCCATTGGTTGTGACAAGTCTGGAACAAGTTGTTAATTATCACTATATATATCTTATAATGTTAGATGAGCGTAACAGACTTGCTACAAGTTGTTCCAACCAGGCTATTAAAGAGGTTCAGATTTGACTTTTACTACCACTACCGTTAAGGGACCAATTAGATGCGCTTGATATATCCGATTAACCAATCAGATTCGTACTAAGCCAGAGAGAGGTAATGGTAGCTGTAGTGGAAGCCAAATTTGAATCTCGCTAATAAATGATAATAGCTAGACTGTTCCCAACAAGTTGTCACTTTAGATCACTCTTCCAAGATAGTTTAAATTCAGAGCTCATTTTATTTTTGTGTTAATGTTAGGGTAGAGTTAAAGTTATGCTTAGGGTAAGGTTCAAGATTGTCATAATCGTCTTGTTTTTTATACCTTTCCATTTTAATAATCTTTAGAAATATAGCATCCACGTCACCTTGAATACCTCATCCGCCATATAGCAACGAACCTAATCTTATGACGGTTGATAATTGCCATAACAGTCACTATTCTTGGTTTATATTATTATATAAGTTTTGATTACACATACAAAACTATTGCATTATACTGTAACACTACAATTCCTAAAGGATTTTTACTCAAATTTAGATGTCTTTAAGATATATTAAAATATCATTTAAGTCAACATGTTATCTTAAAGAAATGAGTACAATGTTTCACATGGTTTACACAACAACAGCAGTGTGAAGCCGTCTTCCTCGAGACATTTCTGGAAGTTCTTGCCAAGTATAACTTTCAAAATAGAAAGCTTCAACTGTTTTCTGTTGTCCTAGCCCACTTGAGCCTCCCATTACTACAATGCTGTTTCCAATAACAACTGCAGTACATCCCTCTCTCTTGTATTTCATTGGTGGCAGCATGTGACTTTGCTCACTCTTGACATTGTAAAGAATCACTGTATCTAATGCTTTGCCACGTTTGTCAACACCACCGATAAGAACGATGTTGTCTCCCCATCGCACAGTTGCCATCATACTCACTTCATGCGGAAGTGGTGACAACTGTTTATATGCATTCTTCTTTATATCATACAACACGACACTGCTGAGGCTATCTTGGGAACTGTCAGTTGTTCTTCCACCAACGATCAACAAGTTATCATCAAATAATTGCATGCCGTGATACTGTCTTGGTTCTGACATTCTTGATAAGGTGTTCACATTATATGGAGGAACAAGCTGAACCTCATGAATACAGTCAGATACTGCATTTCCATCATAACCACCACTGACTATAAAGTGATCCTTATACGGCACACTGCTATGGTATACCAACTTGGCGGGGAGTTTAACAGGACAGTCACTCCAGTGCATTGAGGGATCGGAGTTTGAGTTGATATACATTTTAATTATTTCATCAACATAGCCAGAACAGTAACCTCCAGCAATTGTCACATGATTATTGTGAACAAATGATGTCGCTCCGTAACGCTCTTTTGGCAAGGATCGTAATGGGGACCAAATTCTTTGGCGCCAGTTAAACATCTCGACTGAGTCAGTCCGTGTACCTCCAGCAACAATTATATTTTCTTTATCACCACTTGCTCTATTAATATTTCTTACTTTCTGTGTATTTTCTTCCATCTTGCCCTCCATCTTGACAAGAACTTCTTTCATTTCATCGAAACCTTGAATCAAAGCTGTTTTCAATCCTCTCACCTCGTTATTTACAGTTTCGAGCTTCCCTTCCATACCTGCCGCATTTTTCTCCATGTTCGCTATTCGCGTTTCCATATTGGCCACATTTGTCAACACTTTCGTTTGTATATCTTTATTGGTTGCCACATTTGTCTCCATATCTGCCAACGTTTTTGTTATTTCTCCGCAGAAATGGCACTTCGACTGGCGAAATTCACATAGTTCATATTCATGGCGAATAAGATCACACTGGTTTAAAGTTGCACCACAGCCTTGGTTTGTACAAACGACTGGCGTAAATCCACATGTAGCCTCATGGTCGTCAAGATGTTGCAGTTGTAGGACTTCATGACAACCTCTGTTGTTGTGAACGCAATGAATTTCCAATTCATCTAAATAATCTTTTACCATTTTGTTGGCTTCAGCTAGAGTCTCTACGGTCAGCTCTTCCGCACACGTAGGGCATCTTCGTGAATTCTCGAGATGTTTCGTAATACAAGCACGGCAGAAACAATGTTGGTTTCTCGAACACAGGACCGGGTCTTTAAGAACATTAGAGCAACTCAAACAAAGGAAATTTCGATTGACTGTTGTCGTAAACCTCTCTTTAGCATATCCTTGTGTATAAGACGCCATATATTTCACGATACCCTTGTTTCGTAATAACAAAGCTTCCGTGTTGATGTTGCTCTGTAGTATAAATCTCGCTATATGGACACAATATGTAGATAGAGCGTTCGTTCATGGAGAAAGTCTGTGTTACTATTTGCTTGAACTCTTTAACAAAATGGTCTGTTTGGAGCAACAGACAAATATCGCTTCCGCATAAAGTGTTTAAAGCGTCTTTACCAGACTGGAATTTGCTGGCAACCAAAGGTCATCACCTGATATTGATGTTTTTAATACGATTAATGTCAGTATGTTTACAAGCTTGCGATTGGTCAGATATGTACACAATAATTTGGTGTTTCAAAATATAGAAATCAGTTCCAAGAAAGTGATATTTTTTCCAAGAAATATCAATCCTAATAATGTACTTTAAAAAATATGGAAATGAGTTCCCAGAAAATTATATTTTGTATCAAGAAATATCAATCTCCATAGAATATTATTTTGAACGACGTGTTCCTTCAAGTAATTGCTTCAAATTGGTACGACTATGTCAGGATCTCGTATTAAATAATGGTTTGCAATTGTTCTCAACATGCTTATAATCAAGCTAAGTACTAGACAATTTTATGAAATACATTTAATATGCCGCATGTTTTGTAGTTCAGATGGCAAATTAACGGCAAAATATTGCTGATAATCGTGTCATACTATATTATTCCATTTCACGTACAAAACGTCGGGATAGCATGAATTGGAATACGCACAACCCCGTACGTCCTTGTTTCTTTCTCGACAAGTCTCAAATTACAGTATACGATTCAAATGTTTGTAATGTAAATATATCGGCAACTATTAACGCCGAAAACCGCCAATGAGATCCGCACAAAATAACCTTCCCAACGGGGGTCCAACCTCGTTCCCAGGAGCCTGGGAACGAAGTTGCGGGGGTCATGAATGCCGTCAAAACATTACACAAACCGAAACAATCATATATTTACTGACCGCTTGGCCGAACATTCTGTATTTCATATCGAGAAGAAGTTGAATATCTGCTAAACTTTTCGTTACTTTCTCAAAGGCTTTCTTTCGTTACTTTTTCTTTATTTCCATAACTTTTATTCTGACCGGGTTTGGGTTTTTTGGGAGGGGGGTTCCGTACTTTTGAAAAGTTTGGGGGCTTCAGCTTCACCCCCGTCAGCTTCACCCCCGTCCGCCAGAGACAATAACCTGATCTCACATCGTTAATTTGCATGCTTTCGTAATAGGTCGATCCGCTTTTGAAAGAAAAGCTGAACTTCACATATAGAGGGGATATTAGTATAGGTATAATAGCATGGTTTCGAGTGCAATTTGGATTTTGAATATAACATGCACGAGTGAGTTTTTCAAAGACCGCAAAATAGCACGAGTCCGAAGGACGACTGCTATTTGAGGTCTTTGAAAAACTCACGAGTGCATGTTTATCCAAATTTCACGAGAAACCATGCTATTACTTATTAATAATTTACATAAAAATGTTCGAGACAATTGTAGTTTTAACTTACGTTTATAGCGAACATTCTACTGGCAAAGTTTCCTGGCTTTGTTATATAGAGAATAACACATGGGTGCGCGGAAATACCAGATTTATTTCAAGTACGTGTTGAACATGATATCTCACGAGTGAGCGCAGCGAACGAGTGAGATATCATGTTCAACACGAGAAATAAATCTGGTATTTCCAAGCATTATATAAAGACAGTCTTTGAAAAGCGATATGAAGTGAGATTATCACTTTTATCAGTGCTCGAAATCGACTCTATAAAGCACTATACTTTATATAATAAATCATATTATACAATGCTAACCCGGGGCCCTGAGTGTTCAGAGGGGCCCGGTAATCTCGGTAAAATGTTTGTATCGTTTATCAACGCTTTATTTCTGTCTTTCATGAAATACGCCTACTTGCACACTATCCGCTGATCGTCGTGTCGATCGTAAAACAGTGTGAAATGAACAATTTTTCGATCGTTTTTTTCTGCAAAATGAAACAACGTTTACATCTCGTCTTGAGCAGTTATGAGATGAAATGGGGGTATTTACCTGTATTGAACAAATTTATCACGTCCATTTGCTGGTATACGGTAACATGCATGCACGCTTTCTGCGGCGATTTCTTGCAAGTAATTCGCTGGCGATTCCCTCGCGATCGTTGATTGCCATGGGCGTACCGGGCAATATACTGGGCAGTCGGGCAATACTGGGCGTACTGGGCAGTCGGGCAATATTCGCTGAACAGTCGGGCAATTTTGGTTTATTATAAAAATAAACGGGACAAATTCTGTACATTTTGTGGTCAATTTTGTGATGTTTCGAAAATTTTTGTTAGGTTCCGAAAAATTTTGGTATGTCCGGAAAATTTTTTTGACCCCTAAAATGGTACACTGACCGAAATTTTTTTGGCGCCGGGGGGGGAGGTCGCCAAAATAAATTCCGGAAAAAATTTTTTCGGTACTTGTTGGGGCAAAATCCTGAACAGTCGGAAAAATTTCTTTCCGCCCCCCTAAATTTTTCCTTCCGGTACGCCCATGTTGATTGCGATTAAAATATAGACTTTGGTGTGGCCATCAGCGTGAGAGTTAAGAGGGACAGGGGGCACGTGTTCACCAACTTGTTCGGGGGCCCTGTTTGCCTCTCGCCGGGCTTGGCCATAAATATAGCTATAATGTTAAGAGGCAATGTTTTTCAATGTCACGTATTCGCAATGAAAAGTGTTCAAAACCTAAAACCTTTTTGGCGTTCCTCTCAAAATTATTTTGTTCTAGCTTTATTCTCTAGTTTATAGAGTTAGCTACCTTTGTAAATGCATCTGCCGGTTGAGGAACATAAAATAATAGTTAAAAATTGTCAATTAAAATACAATTATCAGTGATGCTTTAAAACTGACGGCATATTTGCAGCCATATAAGCAAAACTTACTGAACTTCAGACATCATTTTCTCTTTGGCGTATCATCTAAAATCTCTTCATTTTAGCATTATTTTACAGATAAGGCACTAAATATACTTTTTAAGCTTGTTTGCCGATTGAGAAACTTATCGAAAAATAAAAATTTTGAATTTAGTGATTAATAGTGAATTTAGTGAATTTAGCGATTAATAGTGAATTTAGTGAATTGAATTTAGTGAATTTAGCGAAAATAAAAATTTTGAATTTAGGGGCTTCGGTGGCCAAGTGGTTAGCGCACTTGCCTTTCACCTCTGAGGCTGCAGGTTCGAGTCTCACTAAGTACCTTCTCAGTGCCACTCGAATGCAGTCCCCATGTGAAAAGAGTAAAAGTCAACGCTCTGCCGAAAGCCGTAACAGGTGGGCAATTTGTCTGCGCATGCGCGAAGAAAATCAATATGGCGAAATATATTAGGAGTGTTTCGTGAATTTATCTGGTTTTAAGCTGATAAAACAACATTTTAATGAATGCAAACTTTGTAATATTTAGTGGAAAACATTAAGCTATGCATTCCAAAGGTTTTAAATTGAAAATAAGTATACTTCTGCTGTATTTTATTGCTTTTTATGCTTTGAAAACAGGCAAGCTCATTTTTTTGCAAAAATGTAATCTATTATTTTACCCATCATTTGTTTAATCTGAACAGAAATAGATAGAACACTTGGCTATATAAGTTACAAAGGTATTGTTAGCTG